ACAAACCCAGGTCCTGTCTCTAAGCCACAGGCCTGAGGCCATTCTATTTATAGATACCCTAGCCTCAAGTAAAATACACAGTATGTCAACTCAGTTAATAAAGCCAGAACCATAGATGGCTTTCTCCAGCATATTATCCATATGCAGTTCACTGAGTGTCTGGTATTTAATTAATGTATTTAATATGAACACAGCTTCTAAATACTTCAAGTTGCCACAGTTTCAGATCTCACATATCGAGTGAAAACAACTCCAGAAACTTGAGTTATTTATCCATAAGTTTCACCTCCATGATATCAAGTGCCTCAAATTAGAAGCCCAAAATTCTCAGAATGATTAGAGAAATCATACATATATACATACATAGGTATAGATCTATCGTGAAATCTGCATTTTGCTTATCAAATTGGATCTTTGCATTTCATTCAGGTTTTTCTTTGGGTCTGGCTTGAATAAGCATTTCTGCTTACAGCTCTCATAAAAATCAACCACATTTTCTGGAGAACTGAAACAAAAAATTAAATAAAAAAAGCTTTTATGGTCCTAAGGATGCTTTCATTGTGAATTCAGTCAAATCTGTTGGCTGTATCTGTGAGCTTGAGAAAGGGTTGAGAATCTTGCAGTGAACAATATTCCTCTCATTTACTCCTAATGCCTGAATCGTGTTTCTGGCTGAGGTCCCAGCCTGAGACAGTGGTGAGCATAGCAAGTGCTAATAAACTGTCATTTGACTTCTCATCCTCTCCTCACAGGGAAAGGAAGGCAGAGGATGGAAATTTGCCACATTCTACCAAAGGAAAAAACGAAATAAGGTGCCCTTCCCTAGTCCAGATATTCCTTTGCCCTCAAACCTACTACTTGTAGAAACAAGAATCTGTGAAGATGTTCACATACTGCTGATTTAGATACTAGGAATAAAGCTTTGAAGAGGTGAATCACCAATTCTGGGGCAAGGATAACTAGGAATTCAAACATCTGTAAAAAATGCCATGCTGGCTCCACCCCTTCTGCCATATAATTCAATTTAAACACTATATTTTAGAGCTAAAAAGAAAAATGTTTCCATTAGTTTTGCTACATTGAGACTCTGTAAGTAATGCCCCATTAGCCTCACATAGCTTACATCTGCTTTTACTTAAATATGAAAAACATAATAGCCCATGCTCATAATAAATCTTGTATCTTTTCTGTCCCTCACACTAATAATTTTCAGCATTCATTCCTCTCATGTATGGGATGTTCAGCAGGAAAACCACAGTATTTTGCCTGTTGCCCAGTGCCTTAAGAACAGCTCAGGGTTATACAGAAGCTACAGTCATCACAAACTGTATAGGGGATCTAGCACCAGCACGATTTTTGGGGACTATTAACAGAGATGATGATGATGATAACACTAATAACACTAATAATCTATAGCTTTTTTCAGCCAAGTCGCTCAACACTAGATGAAAACAGATAAAATAATTCTTCATTCAGGAGCTAAGATATGAGGTGGTGAATGGATGCTAATGAATAGGATAGACAAACGGCTGGAGAACGCACCCTTTGTCCTCCCTTTTCTCAGCTACTCTAGCTATATCTGTTTTGTTCTATCCAGCTTCACTGGAAAGACTTCTTTGGAGCCCTGACAGCAACTTAAAATTACCCTTCCCCTGAAACCCCAGGGAGGGCAGAGCAGCTCTACCACCTGCTCTCCTTGGAGAGATATTAAGCACAGAGGACCTCAGTGATTCTCTGACTGTTCAATGAAGACAGAAAGGACACTCTTAAAAGAACTAATTTCACAGGTCTTTCTAAAGGAAAGCATTGCCCTATTCATGTGCCATTTCCTCTTGAAGAAGGAGAAAAATTAAATATTTCCATACATGGCAGTAAGTGAGAACCATCTCGGGCATGACTTATGTACACAGTGGCCATTTATATACAGGTTCACCAAATCCATTAGTATAATGATATACCCTGGGTTGTTCCACTGTCACACTAATGATTTCCCTTCTTATTAAACAGGTATACTCATACCAAGAACTCCAACCAGTAAGAGGCATGTCTGGATACCTTCATAAATACTAAGGTTAACAGAAGTGGCCATCAGATTTTTTTCCATTCTGATAAACAGTCTGAAAAAAGACAGACTTTATAGGTTTTCCTTTTCTTTAGCTGCCAGTCATCAGGTACTGACTTCACACACACAACTAACTGAAGTCACCACACTATCACAGCCCTCATCCTTCAGTGAGGGAAGAAAACTACACACAAGATAACAGCTTGTGCTAGGCTAAGAACAGGGGGGAGTACAGCAGTCACAATACAGTCAGTACACAGACAATATTTCATTACAAGATCCAATACAGTACACAGTACACAACCGGTATTTCTACTGAGATTCATCCCAGTTCAGCAAAGCACCCAATTCAGCTAAGTACGCATCAGGAAAGTTTTGCAAGTGTGCTAAACCAGGCCTTGTCTATATCCTTAGCATAGCAGCTGATTTCAGCGACACTACCTGTGACACCACCTTCTTTCAAAAAAAGCAAAAAAAAAAAGGTACCCCACTTGTCGAAGACCAAACAAAAAGCACCATCAGATGAAATCTGAGGAGTCTGACACTTCTTATGAGACCCACAGGCTACTGTTTCCTGACTTGTTAGGCCACGACAAAGATGATGCAAAAACATTTTACTGAGCAGGAACAGAGAAAGCCATGTTTAACCATCAGCTAGGTCTCGAATGGATCTTCTCGTGCCCCAGCCTGATTCCCTACAAACTCTCGGTAAGGAGCTCATGAATCACAGGGCAACTGTGACTTACTCATTTTGTTTGGTTGGTTTGTTTTGTGTTTGTTTTAACTGAGAAGCAGTATTTGTCACCTGACTGCAGAGAAGTCTCCGGAAAAAAGTCATTGATGCAACATGTCCCTCCTTTTGTCCCAATGAATACATTCCTGCTCTTGTGATGAATAACTAGGTCTACAAGAAATACAGTAATCTAATTCCCACTTGTTAGAAATTTTAAAAGCATCATACTAAGGTCATTTAAAAGACGGTTTGAAGATTGTTTTATTTTTTGAGAAACAAAATAATCCTCAAAGGCAGATGGAATTCAGTAATGCCATAAGAAGCCATTAATTGTAGATCAATATCATTAAAACTTTGTTTGCTGCAAGGTTAACCACTAAAATATATTATATCCAGTGAATTACATTATAATATACTTACTTGGTGAATACAGTTAGCAATCTTTTAAGTCACTTTCCTTTTCAGTTGTGAGTTTTACATTGCAACTCCTCCCTAATTCAGTTAAATACTACTTAATTAAAAACAACACTAAGAGGTTAAAAATTCAGAGAATTAGAATGGTACACCTCACAAACAATTAAAGTTTAATAAGAAGCACTTTCTTTTGGATTAAACATTTTAAATACTTACAGAATTTATTGATGTTGGCAGAATTTTGATATCAGTAGACCTCTAGTGGCTATTACAGTAATTGATGATTACATTACTTTTTTTTCTTTAAAATATTCTCTTCAGTAAACAAACAGGAAAAAAACAGAGGAGCAAAACTGCAGCAAAATGTTATTACAGTAGGAAAACCCTAATAAATGTTTTATTTCACAACTGTTACCCAACAAGTATTTAGAGGCCCAGTTCTCATTGGGTTTAATCGAATTACACAACAAAATACCTTTACAAATCTAGTCATGAAACCCCAAACCTGAGTCAGCAGTGACTGTTTTAAAAGTTCCTGAGATTAACTCGAAAATATTTGCCAAACACCGTGAAGGAGCTATTTACAGGTTGAGTCTTAAAAGGGATGGGAAAGCACTTGCTCGCTGCCCAGCCGGGCTCGGCACGTGCCCTCTCACCATCCTGCCCGCACCCCATCCCTCCTCCTCCACTCGCCGCCAGGCCGGGCCTCAGCCTGGTCTGCAGAGAGCTCAGGACAGTCCCCGGTCTGGACTGGGGGCTGTGGGACAGAAGAACATTGTCACGTCGTGTAGCTAGCCATGACTCTGAGCTAGCAATGCCTGGAGTCAGTCACCGTCTGTACTTGGTAAAATATCCATTTTAATGATTCTTCATTCATTTTGGCTAAACTGTCATATTTCAGTGCCTATCAGAAGGTGCAAACCAGATGGGATTCCCTGCAAAATTATAGTAAAGGAACCAGTAAAGGGCAGGCCTTGATGGCATTTGAAAAATCAGACTACATTACCTTAATGAAATAACAAAGACATGGATTAGATGCCTGAATATGGGACACTCAACCCTAAAAGTTTAAGCCTTTGCTCATTCAGTTTGCCAACTTTGAGTTTTTGTCATGACACAACATCCCCCTAAGTTACCTGAAATGCAGTTCAGAGGCCTGCGTACACATATCTTTCCCACACTTCTCAAAATGAAAGGGTCAGACTTTCGACAAAATGCAGAAAGGCAAAGAGCATAAGAGGACAATCTATATGAACATATCTGAATATTGGTCATCTTATTCTTGCCATGTGACTAAAGGCTTTGGTGATCTTTAGGCCTAACAAACACATAATGGCTTTTTCAGACGTTATTAACTGTTTTTTCTCTCAGGGAATCCAAGGGGCATTGAGGGGTTTGATCTCCTAAGGAGATACACTTGGAATCATACAGTATTAGTAAGAAAGCAGTATGAAAACTAAATTCTCATTGCTTAAAGGCTTCCCATTTGCCCATTTAAGAGGCTCCATTTTAGCTGGTTTGCACATACTATTTATTTCAGATATATTTTGAAAAATATATTCTGACTGAGAACATATGCTGATTGGAAAAGGGGAAACATAACCCCCATTTTTAAAAAGGGAAAATAAAGAAGACCCAGGAAACTACAGGCCGGTCAGTCTCACCTCTGTGCCTGGCAAGATCATGGAGCAGATCCTCCTGGAAACTATACTGGGGCACATGGAAAATAAGGAGGTGATTGGTGACAGCAAACATGGCTTCACTGAGGGCAAATCATGCCTCACAAATTTGGTGCCCTTCTACAAAGGGGTTACAGCGCTGGTGGACAAGGGAAAAGCAACTGATGTTATCTACCTGGACTTGTGCAAGGCTTCTGACAGCATCCGGCATGACATCCTTGTCTCTAAACTGGGGAGACATAGATTTGATGGATGGACCACTCAGTGGAGAAGGAATTGGCTGAGTGGCTGCAGTCAAAGAGTTTCAGTCAATGGCTTGATGTCCAAGTGGAGAGCAGTGACGAGTGGTGTTCCTCAGGGGTCAGTTTTGGGACCAGTGCTGTTTAACATCTTTGTTGGTGACATGGACAGTGGGATTGAGTGCACCCTCAGCAAGTTTTCCAACACCACCAAGCTGTGTGGTGTAGTCAACACGCTGGAGGGAAGGGATGCCATCCAGAGGGACCTGGACAGGCTTGAGAGGTGGGCCTGGGCAAACCTCATGAAGTTCAATAAGGCCAAGTGCAAGGTCCTGCACGTGGGTCGAAGCAATCCCAAGCACGAATACAGGCTGGACGATGAGTGGATTTGAAAGCAGCCCTGCGGAGAAGGACTTGGGGGTGTTAGTGGATGGAAAACTGACTATGAGACAGCAATGTGCGCTCACAGCCCAGAAAGCCAACTGCATCCTGGGCTGCATCAGGAGAAGTGTGGCCAGCAGGTCAAGGGAGGGGATTCTCCCCCTCTACTCTGCTCTCATAAGACGTCACCTGGAGTACCGTGTCCAGCTCTGGGGCCTCCTACATAAGAAGGTCATGGACCTGCTTTAGCAGGGAGCTGAAGCAGCTCCCTTATGAGGGCAGGCAGAGAGAGTTGGGGTTGTTCATTGTGAAGAAGAGAAGGCTCTGGAGAGACCTTATAGTGGCCTTTCAGTACTTAAAGGGGGCCTACAGGAAAGATGGGGAAGGACTCTTTACAAGGGGTAATGGTTTTAAACTGAAAGATGGTAGATTTAGATTAGATGTAAGGAAAAAATTCTTCACTGTGAGGGTGGTGAGACACTGGAACAGGTTGCCTAGAGAAATTGTGGATGCCCCCTCCCTAGACATGTTCAAGGCAAAGTTGGATGGGTCTCTGAGCAACGTGGTCTAGTGGAAGGTGTCCCTGCCCCTTTCAGGGGGATTGGAACTAGATGATCTGTAAGATCTCTTCCAACCCAAACCATCCTGTCATTCTATGATTTTCAATCCGGAGTAGCTATTGTTTTGTCTTCCTCACATAGTGTTGCATCTTCAAGAACTTACTAAATCTGAAGAACTCTGCTAAATCAAAGTTGTTTGACAGATTTTCAGTGTGACCTCCTTCATATGCTGGTGAAAGAAATGATTAATCATATGTACAATCAGAAAAGTCAATTCTTATTTAAAGGACAATCATGTGCATCTATGCGTGAAATCTACTGCCTTCTGATGGACCTTTGTGTCAAAGTGACTTTCACAACGTAAAATGGTCACTAAAATGTAATTCTTCACCACCTGTCTAGGTTTAGAACCCAAATGATATATAGAAAATATCTCCTATACATAACCTTGCACATATTTGTGTACACAAAGGCAGAAAACACTCTCAAAAGGTTGAGCCTTCACCATACCACAGGATTTTAAAAAATAACTGAAGGCCTACATAATCAAAAACAGATCATCTGAATGAAAGAAACACTGTGGAAATGAGTCCAAAGAGATCTGAGCACACGCAGGAAAGTGCAGTGATGTAAAATGTGTGTGCCAGAGCAAAAGTCTGTCCCCTCGAGGAAGAACTTCCAGCACACACTCATTGAAGCTCTTCTTGACTGATTATGGTAGGCTGAGCAATTGTTTGGTTTTTTTTAAAAAAAAAAAAAAAAAAAAATTTAAAAGAGTTTAAAACATTTGCAGCTAGGCATTCATATTTTAAAAGAGTTCAGCAGATGATCTCTTGGCAGTCTGTGTCCAATAGCTATCTATTCAGATAGGATGTTGGCTGTTCATTATCAAATCATCTCTTTGCCTAAGAGCATTGCCAAACTTGTTAATGATAAGTTTGGCTGAGCAACCTGGATAACACTGGAAGCAATATTACTCTGCAGAAACTTTCTGCTGTGTGCCAGGAGAAATAACCTGCCATTGCAAGGCTGGTTGAGAAATACAAAGAAACATTACATGTATGTTTTTTAAATACAAAAAGTGTCCTGGGCGATTTGGTCAATTTATTTATGAGGATTCTTTGCATTGATGAGCAAACAGCTAGAAATTGGAAAACAAAAAGTATGTTAGTTTTCAGTATTTAACACTCCTCAGGATCAGAACATACAGTGGAAGTGCACTGTTTATTATTCTTTAATCTCTATTAGAACAGTATTTTCCTTTCTCCTCCAAAACCAGGAAGTATACTGTGCATAAATAAGATCAGCTTACAGCTCAGATGACTCTTGACACATCCTGCCAAGACAAATGTTCATCCAAACAGCTAAATTCCTGTTCCTTATCCTGCTCCTCCAAAGCTTTCTCGGAGCCAGAAGCTGGGGAGAGCCAGCCCTTCTGGACCACCTTCGGCTCTTCATGTACGTTCCTGGCTACAGACTCTTTGGAAACAGAGCAGTGGGAAGCTGCACAATAGGGAACAGATTCATTTCGCTGAGCTTCTCTCATTGCAACTAAGCACGTGAGTGCCTCTACCTTAGTGTGAAGTCAGTATGGAGTGGCAAACTCAGTGGAAATGGACTAAGTTTGAATCCCCTTCCACATATGTGTTTGAATATGTCCTGAAATGGAACAAGAAGGGTCAGAGTGTCAGCAGCTCCCATTTGAGAGCTAATGATGAAAAGCTGTGTGTTCAAGGCATTTTCTGGGCTCAGTGGATCCTGAGGGGACTCCAGCCCAAGGCAGACCCTGCAACACACTGAAGATCTGGAACCAGAGTAACTGGCAAAACTCTCCACTATTGATTCTGTTACCAAAATCCTCTGTGTGTTGCAGGGTTCTTTGGTACTTTTCAACTATATAAAACTTGTTTGGGCTAAAAATGTGGATATGCAAACCACGAGACTCCAACACCAGCAAATAAAGACCTGGAAGCTGGGTTCAAACGTAAACATCACTGAGATTTGGTTTTTTAAATGAGGATTTTAAAGGTTTCACTGGTGACCATGTTCAAAGCAAGGATCAAAGAAACTCACTGGCGTTTTGTGGTCTTACCAAAGCTAGCCTGCACAGGATCTATATAATTATAAGGAGAAATACTTCATGATCCAAAATCCAGAAGCAAGAGCTCAGCCTTACCTTGATAACATTAACATCTCACAGCTTCCCTACAGCTTTTTATGTAATTGTGTCATGCAGCCAGCAGAGCTCTTACCAAAGAGAAAGCTTCTGGCCTATCTTCACAGCTATCCTCTCCTTTCCTGCATGAACGTGTCACTAAAAGTGCCTGTCACACTTCAGGCTGAGCTGAGCTGTAGAATGCAGAAAGAAAAGGCTGCTACTTTGGATACCTTTGGCCAATCCATATGTTCCACTCATTCTCATATCTGGCATGTTTAAGGAATCTAATTTAGAGTAGTAAAGACTATCTCATAAGATGTAGGTGGATCTTAAAATACCCTCCAGATTTCTGGCTTAGTGTAAAAGCTGCTCCTCTTTATTATCAAAGGGGTGGATTTGTTGAAAGAAAAAAAAAATACTATATATAGTCATTGCTGAATCAGTGTGAACATCCAGGACAAAAACAAATACAAACCATTTTCAGTGTTCAGGGCCAAAAAACATCCTTTCCTTCCAAAATCTGGTCACATTTCATTAAAGAGTAGTGTAGATTTAACTTAAGGTGGATTTTTTTTCCACTAACTCTACAGCTCCCTTCCATTAGAGCTTGTTACTTGCCAAAAACCCTCCATCACCTCTGTTCACTCTCATGGGAGGAATATGACAGCAATGTCCTCCCTCTTATTTACCCATTCACCAGAGTTCCTGGACACATCACTTACAGATGTCAATAAATTCCAGCATCACCAAATTGGTAAGTCAATTTATTAAACCATATCTTTTGGACTATTTTGTTTTCTTTATTTCACAGTCTGCAAGCTATGTTCTGGCCTTCAGTCATATTGCTGGCAATTTCTGACACCTCCAGCTTCTAAATAATATATATTGCTGTGACTCAAGGCGACAGGCATTATTCTTCTGTCAAAGACCCATCCTTGCCTCATTTCCCCAGCTCCACCGGCCTTCTGATTTAACTAGGGAGATGGAGGAGTAACCTTTCCGAGATTTGATATCCCTGATAATAGCTCCAAACACTCTGGATTAATGATGTTCTGAGTCACTGGAAATGGCTGTCACTCTTGTTGTATGGATGGGTACATAGAACAAAGATGGTAATATTCCCTCAAATGCTCCCAACTGAAAATGTTTCCTTTAGCATTACTACTTAGAACAATAAAACTACTGAATCAGGCCTTCAATTTAAATGCACAGGCAAACACCCTCAGATTGCTTTGAAAAGATACTCCACGTGCAGAGGGTGGGTGGAAGAGGTGACAGCGTCTCTTCTGGAATGTAGACAACATAATATGGCATGCCACTTATGTCGTATTACTGACTCGCTGGTATTCCAAAACAGATTTTGTTGTACTGAAATCAGGGAGGCATTTACCACAAACATCTATGTGGTTACTTCACCATTTGAAGATGAGAATGGGTAGCAGGTGAACATCAGCAGGTTTTCTTTATTACCATTGCACTTCGGACTTATAAATTGCACCTAATAATTAATGAAGTCGAGATTATGTTTTTCCTACTTACAGGGATACACTGACAGCTATCAACTATCACAGAAATCAATACTGCAGACAGAAAATAATAGCTGTTTTTAAACAAGGTCAGAAACTCATTTGCTATAAACTAGTGTAGGCCCACTGAGAATATGATGCAAGACATCTAAATTTGCCTGCACTGACATTTTTCTTTCACACAGTGGCAAGTAATACTCTTTTAAACAGCTTCTTTGTGGAGTGACTAGAAGAGAACTTGCAAACCTTCACCAAGAGCAGCACTTTCAAAGGCACAAATGGCAGAAGAGTGCTCTCTCTCCTGCTACCTCTCTGCAGGAGTTAGAGGTCTAACTACCACTTACGCCTTTGCCAAGCCCCTTACCACTGCCTTTCTCCCTATCTGCCAGACAACTCTTTGGAAAACTCTTTTTCCTTGCTGCTAAAACTGACTTTCCCTTCTCATACTCAGAATCCAAGCCAGAAATCAGCATGAGATAGCTCACTTTTTTATTTGCTCTACTCCAGTCCGTTCTCATTGAAGTACATGCCTTTTAACCACCAGCACCCCTTCCTTTACTACCATTCTCCTCTGACATGACATAGATTCAGTTTGCAAATAACCAAATATTAAGTGTTGAGGAGAAATATTTCAGACTTCCTTAGACTGAGCATTAAGGATTATTATGAAAACTGATTCTCTCCTTCCAAAACCCACACCTTAGAGACAAAGTAAAGGCTCAGTGTTCTTCCCCAATAACTATATCAACCTGCAGAAAAAACACTTTCTTATCACTTTGACACCAATGCACAATGCTTTTCACTCCACAATCCATCTCTTTCTCCAACTGTCTGGATGCTTAGGTGATAGCAGTAAAAAAAGCCTTTTAACAATGAAGGCGGACAAATGAAAGGTGGTAGGAGGAAGGAAGTGCCTCCCCATCATCTTCCAGTAACAAGAACATCTAGCTTTAAATTATTCAACCCACTCTTCAATTTTGGGACCTTTCAAGACGCTATGTTATTGGCTGCCCAAACAGCCATGGCAGCAAAAATGAAAAATCTTCCACCTGCAATGACCCAGAAATCTCCTTTCTTTTTTGACACAGGCTTATAAGCTGGAGTGTATGAGTTCTCACCTTGATTACTGCAATCACAGAATCATAGGGTGGTTTTGGATTGGTAGAGACCTTTAAAGGTCATCTAGTCCAAACCACCTGCAATGAGCAGGGACATCTTCAACTAGATCAGGTTGCTCAAAGCTCTGTGCAACCTGACCTTAAACACTTCCAATGATGGGGCATCCACATCATCTCTGGGAAACCTGTTCCAGTGTCCCACCGCCCTCATTGTAAAATTTCTTCCTCATGTCCAATCTAAAGCCTACCCTCTTTCAGCTTAAAACCCCTACCCTTTGTCCTGTCACTACTGACCTTAGTAAAAAGTCTCTCTGTCTTTCCTGTAAATCCCCTTTTACATATTGAAAGGCTGCATTAAGGTCTCTCCCTGGAGCCTTCTCTTCTCCAGGCTGAACATCGCCAACTCTCTCAGACTTCCCTCATAGTAGAATTTCTGACAGAGAATGGCCACGATATTTTGTTGCAAGGTTTGGACAATCCAGGCCTGAGATCAGACTGCTAACAACAGCTGTGTTATGAGAATGACCTTGAAGGGCTGTGTTGTGAGGAACTGTATCTGTTAATGAGGAATTTTCTCAGCTATGTATCTGGCTAAGCTAAGCACAAGTATGCAGCAAACTGCAAGATGCTTGCCTATCACAGTTTCCCTTTGGGTGCGTGATAAGTTGCTTATGACCAATAATCCAGGGGTATGGGGCGCGTGAACAGCGGGTGCTTGCTTTGCAAAGTATATAACCAAGCAATTCGGGCAATAAAGGGGGACGACATGTAGCCGCATCGGTGTGATTGTCATTACTCGGGCCACTCTCCGTATTGGGACCCTCTTCACCTCATAGCAGAGGTGTTCCTTTCCTCTGTTCATTTTTGTGGTCCCCCATCTGAACCTGCTCCAACAGGTCCATGTCCTTCCTCTGCTGAGGGCTCCAGAGCTGAACTCAGTACTCCAGGTGGGGTCTCACCAGAGCCAAATAGAGGGGCAGAATCACCTCCCTCGACTTGCTGGCCACACTTTGTTTGATACAGCCCAGAATATGATTGGCCTTCTGGGCTGCCATAACACATCACCAACCCATGCCCAATTTTTCATTCACCTGTATCCCCAAGTCCTTCTCCACTCTCCATTCATCCTCCAGTCTGTATTGATGTTGTGAATTGTCCTGACCCAGGTGCAGGACCTTGCACTTGGCCTTTTTGACCTTCATGATGCTTGCATGGGCTCACTTCTCAAGCCTGGATGGCATCCCTTACCTCTAGCGAATCAACTGCACCACTGAGCTTGATGTCATCTGCAAACTTGCTGAGGGTGCACTGAATCCCACTGTGTTGTTGATGAAGATATTAAATAGTATTGATCCCCCTGTGGACCCTTGAGGGACACCACTTGTTACTGGTTTCCACCTGGACATTGAGCCATTGACTGCAACCCTCTGACATGGCCAATCATTGTACTTAAGAATGAAACCACCTAAAGAAGAGTCATCAGGAGACCATGTACTCACCAACACCAACTGTCAAGTCTGCACCAGTCTTACATTCTCTACTCAGTCTCTGACCTGCCCTGCAAAGCCCCAGTGGAAATGACTCTGAGAGGAAGCCCCTAAGATGGGCACTGACCTGTATCAGAAAAACACTTTGAAGGATGGAAAGAGCTTCACTATAGGTTTCATATCTATCTATCTATCTAGATATGGAACCTGCTTCTGCAAGAGACAGCCATCCAAATTTATTTTTTATGTTGCTTCCCTGGAAAAATATGCCAGACAGACCCTCCTTTTAGGGAAGTCTGCTGCCTCCCTGGGGCCCAGGTTAAGGACATCACTAGAAAACTTCCTAGCCTAGTATGGCCCTCAGACTAGTACCCATGACTGCTCTTCCATGCGGGTGGTGATGAAAATGCAATGCAAAGGCCAAGGGTGATCAAAAGAGACCTCAGGGCCTTGGGGTGGTTGGTAAGGGAATATGAAGCACAGGATATTTTTTCCTCTATCTTTCCAGTATCAAGCAACAATATTGGAAGAAACAGATGCACCCAGGCAATTAATACATAGCTCCATGGCTAGTGTCACCACCACAATTTTGGGGTTTTCGATAATGGCATGGCCTACATGTCACCAGGCCTGCTGGGGTCAAATGAGATTCATCTTTCCCAAAGGGTGAAAAGGGTTTTTGCTCATGATCTATTGGGGCCGACTGACAGAGCTATAAACTAGACCTGAAGGGTGAGGGGGTTAATATCGGACTTGCCCATAACAAGCCACAGGATAACACGCCAAGGTTAGAGGGACAGGGTGCTAACAAGGGTTCTGAGACTTGCTGGGTGCACTGGAGCACACCTGAAGTCCTACAGAGGTGAGCCAGAGGCTCCTAAGTTAATAGAAGACAACAGAGAAACACTGGTGAAATACCTCAAAAGAATTAAGGGGTGCTCCCCTAAGAAGGTGGCATGGCTGACAGCCCAGCTGAAGTGCCTCTACACCAGTGCACGCAGCAAGGGCAGCAAACAGGAGCTGGAAGCCACCACGCTGCTAAAAAGCTATGACCTAGTTGCCATTACTGAATCTTGGGGAGATGAATCCCATGACTGGAGTGCAGCTATCGATGGCTACAGGCTGTTCTGAAGGGATAGGCAAGGAGGGAGGGGTGGATGGATTGCCCTCTACATCAAGAAATGGATAGAGTGTGAAGAGCTGTCTGAAGAATAGCCACGAGCAGGTTGAAACCTTGTTGGTAAGAATTAGAGATCGAGGCAACAAAGGGCACCTTATGGTTGGTGTCTACTCCTGCTGGGGGACTTCAACCACCTTGACAACTGCTGGAAAAGCAGCATGGGAAGCTGTAGGCAATCCAGGAGACTCCTGGAAAGCATTGAGGATAACTTCTTAAGCCAAGTAATAGACAGCTCTACCAGAGGGGATGTGATACTGGACCTGCTCGTCCCCACCACAAGTGAGCTAATTGGAGGCAACAGCGTTGGAGGCTGCAGTGGGCTGCAGAGATCGGGCACTGGTGGAGTTTGCGGTCCTGAGGGGTATGGGTCAGGCAAAGAGTAAAGTCGGAACCCTGAATTTTAGGAAAGCAAACTTCCAGCTCTTCAAGGAGTTAGTCAATAGGACCCCCTGGGAAACTGCCCTCAGGGACAAGGGAGCAGAACAGGGCTGGCAGATCTTTAAGGATCCTTTCCATACAGCACAAGAGCTCTCGATCCCCAGGTGTGAGAAATCAGGAAAGGAAGGCAAGAGACCAGCATGGATGAGTCAAGACTTGCTGGACAAACTGAAGGGCAAGAGGGAAACACACAGGCAGGGGAAGCAGGGACAGGTGTCCTGGGAATAGTATAGGGGTGCTGCCTGGTTTTGTAGGGATGCGGTCAGGAAGTCCAAGGCTCTGCTGGAGTTGAACTTGGCAAGGGACACAGAATAATAAGAAGGGCTTCTATAGATATATCAGCCAGAAAAGGAAGGTCAAAGAAAGCGTATCCCCCCCGATGAACAAGACGGGCAAACTGGTAACAACAAACAAGGAGAAGACTGAGGTACTCAACAGACTTTTTGCCTTGGTTTTCACTCGCAGTCTCTCTTCCCACATCTCTCGAGTGGATGGACTGCAAGACAAGAACTGGGGGAGCAAAGTCCCTCCCACTGTAAGAGAAGATCAGGTTCATGACCACCTGAGGAACCTGAACATACATAACTCTATGGGAACTGACGAGATGCATCCCAGAGTCCCAAGGGAATTGGCTGATGTAGTTGCTAAGCCACTCTCCATGATACTTGAAAAGTCATAGCAGTTAGGTGAACTCCCCGGAGACTGAAAAAAAAGAAATATTGCATCCATTTTTAAGAAGGGCAGAAAGGAGGACCCTGGCAACTACCAACTTATCAGCCTCACCTCTGTGCCAGGGAAGGTCATGGAACAGATTCTCCTAGGAGCTATGCTAAGACACATGGAGGACAGGAGGGTGATTCATGACAGACAGCATGGTTTTACCAAGGGCAAGTCTTGCCTGATCAACATAGTGGCCTTCTGTGATGGAGTGACTACACCAGTGGACAAGGGAAGAGCTATGGGTGTTATCTATCTGGACTCTGTAAGGCCTCTGACACGGTCCCTCACAGCATCCTCCTCTCTAAATTGGAGAGATATGGATTTGATGGGTGGTCTGTTCAGTGGATGAGAAATTGGCTGGATGGTTTCATCCAGAGGCTCAATATCCAGGTGGAGATCAGTGATGAGTGGTGTCTCTCAGGGGCCCATACTGGGACCAGTTCTGTTTAATGTCTTTATTAATGACTTAAGACAGTGGGATCGAGAGCATCCTCGGCGAATTTGCAGATGACACCACGCTGAGTGGTACAGTTGACACACCTGAGGGATGGGATGCCATCCAGAGGGACCTGGACAAGCTCAAGAATTGGGCCCATGTGAACTTCATGAGGTTCAACAAGACCAAGTGTAAGGTCCTGCACCTTGGTCAGGGTAACCCCCAGTAACAATATGGACTGGGGGATGAAGGGATTGAGAGCAGCCTTGTGGAGAAGGACTTGGGCATAAGTTGGTAATGTGTTATGGCAGCCCAGAAAGCCAATCATATTCTGGGATGTATCAAACAAAGTGTGGCCAGCAAGTCGAGGGAGGTGATTCTGCCCCTCTACTTGGCTCTGGTGAGACCCCACCTGGAGTACTGAGTTCAGCTCTGGAGCCCTCAGCAGAGGAAGGACATGGACCTGTTGGAGCAGGTTCAGATGGGGGACCACAAAAACGAACAGAAGAATGGAACACCTCTGCTATGAGGAAAGTCTGAGAGAGTTGAGGATGTTCAGCCCGGAGAAGAGAAGGCTCCAGGGAGACTTATTTTATCCTTTCAATATATGAAAGGGGGCTTAAAAGAAAGACTGAGAAAATCTTTTTACTAAGACCAGTAGTGACAGGACAAGGGACAATAGCTTTAAAGTGAAAGAGGGTAGATTTACACTGGACTTAAGGAAGCCATTTTTTACAATTAGGGTGGTGGGACACTGGAACAGGTTGCCCAGAGAGGTGGTAGATGCTCCATCCCTGGAAACATTCAAGGCCAGGCTGGATGGGGATTTGAGCAACCTGATCTAATTGAAGATGTCCCTGCTCATTGCAGGTGGGTTGGACTAGATGACCTTTAAAGGTCTCTTCCAACCCAAACCGTTCTATGATTCTATACTGCTCTGGTTGGATTTAGTCTTCACAGACTTGCCTCTTCTAGAAATTCAGGCCCATGGTATTTCTGAACTCTCTGAGTTGGTCTCTAATTAGAGCACAAGGAAAATTTATCATCTGCTTAGTAACAGACTCCCATGCCACAAAGCTCTGCCTCTTTTAAGTGATGATTTCAGTTTACTTAGAAATAGATAACTATAGAAAGAGATATATATGTGATAAGAGAAATATAGATTTATAAATATGGTTATGAAACATACAAATAGAAAATCTATTCTTAGTAACAGATACTTCTGTGGAGACTTGAATTAGCTTTGTGCTTGTTCCATATTGTGTAATGAAATATACAACTGGGCCAACATACAATTCAGTGCTAACTTTGTTTTTAATAAATGCTGCTGGAAAAATAACCTTGTCAAGCTGGCAAGCTCAATTTCTGCTTTTCCCTAAGCAGCCTTCCTAACCCTCGACTCTCGATTTTTCCTCAGAACTGATTTCTGTTCACATCTGTGTGTACAGACAGGGAGAAACAAACAGTAAGGCATCCACCACATACTCACATAGGAAAGCAGAGTAAGTAAAATTTTCCTGCCTTGAAGGGTGCTGAAGGGGGACAGTTTTCACTCTCAGCAGAAATAGGGGAGAAGTCAGGAGAGTGGTTTTATCTCCATTTTTTCATTCACTTTCAAAGTGTACTTAATTGCAATATTCCCAAGAGATAGACAGCATAGGAGACTACAGTTTTTCCTGACCCACAAGACAGGAATGTCTTTAAATAAACTCATTATTATTCAGAGAAATTTACTCTGCAGGGCAGGAACAGTTTAAAAACCAAATAGTTACTTCCCTTCTATCTGTATACAAAGAAAAAAACCCAGATATTGGTACTGCTAACACCTTCTCTCTCCATCATACATGTGTACTCGATGGTTAGTTAGGTTTGGGGTCTTACTAGCCAGTCTGTTCACAGCCAGGTGTTAACCAGCTCACCTGCTACACAAGGTTCTTGTGTGACCTCAGCTAAGAAGCAATGGGCTTTTGTTCTATTACAGTATGCTAGTTTGGTGGGCCATGTGCCTGATTTGGGACACCCTAGTTGTTCCCCCCCACTGAAGCCATATTTCAGAATCCTCTTCTACTCACAAAAGCTTACCAAGCATCTACAAAACCAGCAGATGCCCTAGAAGTCATCAAAGCCATCCTAAAAAAAAAAAAAAAAAAAAAAAAAAATTCATAGAACAGAACTGTCTCATAGCCAACCAACTGGACTACTCAACACCAGGCAGTACATGGGAAGAGGAACAAAAAACCAGAAAAGATTTCTAGGCTACCACTACCCATCCAAGTCAATTACCCATGAAGTAGAAACTCTTCTGAAAGGAACCTGCTCTGCATGGCCATGGCGATGTTGGAGCTGCCTGTAAAAGGCTAGAAGGCTAGGAGTGTACACAGTTTCCTAGGTGGTGAAGAACTGTTTCTGAGAAAAAATAATCATCTTACCATGTCCACCCTCTCCTTCGCAAAGTTGCATTTTAAGTAGGCTTCTATTGAAATTAGCACTTTACAATGCCAGCAGAGAGAATTAAATTCAAGAACCACCACAGAACCCTCTTTCTTAAATCACTGTGGAGAATTTGGTCAAGCTATCATCTTACTCTTCAAAATCCACACATACCACATGCCTTTTAATGCTGTCACCACCATTTCCTCATCTCCCTTGAGTAAGCAATCATTTTAGGCCCTTTCTTCCTGGGAACTGAATGGAAGCAGGCTGGTGAGTCGCTGATTCAGAGAACAGAAAAATATTTGTCCTTTCTAACAGGCTTTACAACATCCATGATTTAATTAAAATAGGACATATTTGCAGGAGATATAACAATATGTGCAACTGCAAGTCTATGACTACAGATGTACAGGAGTAACCAGGAATTATAGTCTGATCCAGGAATTTAAGATGCACTGTTCCTAGAGAGCACACAACTAGTACAGAATCGCAGAAATGTAGCAGAAAAAAAAGAAAGGAAGATATGAGAACACAGAGCTTGGCTAATTCACTGAATTACAGCTTATCATCTCTACTTAAACTGCACCTACGGTTTAATCGAAGAATCAGCACGCACATTAACTACTTTAAGATCAGTTCAACTGCCCAGAACATATTACAAAAATATGAAGGATGACACCTTGTCTCCACTGGAGTTTGTTGAAATTCTTATCATTGATTTTAGTAAGGTTTTAATTGCACCCATGTATTTTGGACATGATCATGCTGGATACAATTTCCAATAGCCAAGTCACTAAATCTCAAAGTTTTTTGAAACTTCTCATAAAAATATGGTCCTTGGACAGTTAACTAAGAGGGATATTTTTTTAACTTACCAATTGCTTTTAGACAGACAGCAATCCTAGCTTTCTTTGGTAAAGCAGATATATACAGACCTGTAAACTCTTCACATATTATCAATTCTTCATATATACACAAGGATTCCTCTTAAAAGAGATTTGAGAGCACTGGTTGCTTCCATTGACCTTCTGTCTCTCTAGACCACCTGGCTGCTCTCACTATTTGTACTAACTCCTTTTGAAGAGAGTGTATTTCTCCCATTGCAGGTAATTCACGTTAGAAGATCTCAATAGCAGTTCTGCCTCTTCATCCTCTCTTTGACAGGCTGCAGCATCAGCTCCCTTCCGAATAACCATCCAAGAGCCACTTAAGCAGTGCGACATAACAAACCCACTGCAGGTCTTTGCCAATTAAATCATTAACATTTTAGTATACTTCAGGGACACTGAGAAGGAGTTAGATAGCTGGTTTCAAGTGCCGTCTGCAGTGGACCCATAGCCCATGGCCAAACAGCCAAAAACTCCCCCCACTAGCACACATGGAAGGGAGGGGGGGGCAATAATGCAGAAGAATGGAAGCTTGCAACAGCAAGGATCTGCAGGAGGATGAGACTTCCCCTGAAGCCCAAGGTGCCCTTGCAGAACAGCTTCACCACTCTGCAGACTGAAGAGGAAAGACCCATCACATCAGGAGAGATGCTGGAGCAAAGTAAGGCAGCGCGGTCTGTTCCCCATGTAACAGCCAGCACAACTAAGAAAAGGCCAAGCCTCATACAGCCTACTGACATCATATTATCCACTGCTGTTGTTTCATGTGGGCACCAAAGATACAGCCAGGAGCAGTCTGAGGAGTATCAAGAAGGATCACAGAGCCCTGGGAGCGGCAGTAAGGGACTCTGAAGCACAGGTAGTTTCTTCATCAGTCCTCCCAGTCAAAGGGAAAGGGTTCGAAAAGGCCAGTCAAATCTGGGAAATCAACAGTTTGTTACGGGACTGGTGCCACAGCCAGGCATTTGGCTACTTAGACCATGGGACTCGCCTTGAGAAACCTGATCTACAGGGGGTGATGGGGTCCATCTGTCAGAGAAGGGGAAGTCAGTCATAGGCTTGCCAAGCTGGTGAAGAAGGCTTTAAACTGAAGTTGCCAGGGGAGGGAACCTCAATCCATCCCATCCCTACCAGCTCAATGCCAGTGCCAGCAATAGACACCCAGAGCCTGGAGGGGGGTCACAGGTCAGCAGGAGAGCACCTGAAGAGCAGCACAAAGGAATTCCAGCCAGTTAGTCAGCTGCATCGGGGGCCCAACTTAAACGTCTCTATGCAAACACACGTAGCACGGGGAATAAACATGAGGAGCTGGAGACATGTGCATACCTGCAGGGCTGCGGTCTTATTGGCATCATGGAGACGTGGTGGGATGGCTCCTATGACTGGAGGGTTGGAATGGAAGAATACAGGCTCTTTAGGGAGGATGGGAAGGGGAGACAAAGAAGGGGTGTTGGTCACTGACCAGCCGGAGCGCATGGAGCTCTGCCTGGGGAGGGATGAGGAGCCGACTGAGAGCTTATGGGTCAGGATTAA